CCCATGTCCTCTGCATCGGCAGGTGGACTCTCAACCACTGCGCCACCAGGGAAGCCCTTGGCTCTGATTTTAAAGATACACACTGGTTGTTATTGGATCATAACTATTTGCAAAATTCAGGAGTTAAGCCTATAAGTAGTTATGTATATTAACTCTGCAGCTTAGCTTATTATTTGTCAGAATATCTTTTTTTAGATTACATGGAGTTTTGAGATGGATGTCTCTGTCCACTTAAAAAGTTTGTATTAGAACCTTGTCGTTACTTTAAAACTCACCAAAGTATTTGAAGTTGACCTTTAATCTAAATAAATTCCAAGTTAATAATAAGTCATTTAGTGTAGTCATTATAGCTATATAGTTTGGATTTTGCTCTTACAATTTTCCTACTTAAAATTCTACTCTTATAAATAATAATTATTTGTTATGTATTATTCATAATGATTATTTCTAATGGCTACATAATATTTCATTAGATTCGTAATGCATGATTTACTTAGGTTGTTTATAATTTTTAATAGTTATAAACTTCAAAGATTAAATATGACGAACTATTGTACCAATTTTTTTTTTTGGTATTTTGATGGATTTGCTTATGATAAGTTCCCAGGATAAATATTCAAAGGGTATGAATATTTTTATAGCTCTCAATACATGTTACCTACTCAGTTTTCGTAACGGATATAACAATTAACAGTGCCTACCAGTAACACATAAGTATATCCAACTCACTATAGCCTCATTAAGATGGAATGGTAAATACTGTTTCCTCTATTTTTTGATGTAAAATGGAACCTTGCTTTAATTTGTAGGTTTTTTTTTTGTTTTTTTTTTTTAGTAAGGTCAAGAGTTTTTTCCTACTCATTTGCTGTTCCATTTCTGTGATATCTATTCACATTATTGATTGGTTGTTTTGCTGTTTTATCTTACAAATTTGAATTGTTTTACATTTGATAAATGTATAAACTTTGTTATGTTTTATATTAGTTTTTAATGCTATATAAAATTTCCTTTCTGTAGTAGAGATTGATCTACCCCCTCTCCGAACTTTACTAGGTGTTAGACGAATTGGATGTGATATAAAAATAAAGTACATTTTGGCTAATGTGTTTTAACTGTGTTATATAAGAAGCTTGAAACAGCTTAATTAAAAATTTTTTTCTGATTACACAGACCTGAGGAGGCCATATATATTCAATGATTTGTGTGTGTATGTGTGTATAAACAATTTTCAGGTCCAAACTGTTTAAGCCCTTGGAAATTTCAAGAGTCTGACATGGCTGACCTGCCTGGTAACATCCTTCTTCACTACACTGCAAAGGTCAGAGTAAATGCATGGACTATCCATCTAGCTGTAACTATGCTGTGAACTAAAATTCCATTTTTGTTCATTTTGTCATTTCAGTGGGTAATTGAGATAAAGGGTCTTGAATTACTGTTAGAAAATTATTAATTTTCAAAAGAAAATGAGAAGCAGTAAAAAATTAAGCTGCAGTTCTCAGCTATGGTTCAAGTGTTATCATTATGTCATCCCAGTCATATGAATGGAAATGGTTGTAGTGGGAATTTGTACTAATGAATCAACTTCAGTAAATGAAATTGTTTAAATGTGTTCTTCTTTTTTGGAAGGAGAGTTGAAACAGAATTGTGCTCAACTTTTTCTTTGTTTATTTTTAAAATTTTTTGGCTGCACGGCTTGTGGGATCTTAGTTCCCTGACCAGGGAATGAACCTGGGCCCTCGGCAGTGAGAGCGCAGAGTTCTAACCACTGGACTGCCAGGGAATTCCCTGTTTATTTTTAAAATGTGGTTAACAAGAAAACAAAAGAAATGTTTACATCAGAAGGAGAAGAAAAGCTACATATACGCATACCATGCCCAGTCCTTTTTCCTTCAAGAAAAGTCATTTATCTAGTGAAAGTAATTGAGGTTAGCAAGGGCTGAGGGAAAGATCAAAGGTAGAACTGGGAGGAAGAAAAGGAAGAAGTGGCATAAACAATATTAATTGCCTTCATTATATTTAATGTTACTTTAACCCAGAAGTTGCTTCTGTTGTGTGATATTATACATCATAGACCTTTTCCTCCCTAGTTGAACCAGCTAGTACATGGTCATAATTTATTACTTTGAATGCTTGTTTATGTGTAACCTAATAAAATTTACTTGTCAGGTGGTATTTCCCCTTAACTTTTAATTTTGATTAATTTCAAACCTAGAGAGAAGTTGAAAGAATGGTAAAGTGAAATCCTGTATACTCTGCCTAAATTCACCAGTTACTAACATTTTGCTGCACTTGGTCTTCATCTATCTCAAATCATTTGTGAAAGCAGATCAACATAGCAATCAAGACACTTTACTCCTAAACTTTACAACATAATCATTAACCTCCCTGAGAAAATGATCAATAATTCATGTCCTTTACAACCCATGTTCAAATTTTCCCAGTTTTCCCCAAAATATTTGTTTAGCCTTTTAAAAATTTAATCTTGGATCCAGTTGAACATTGCATTGGTTATAATATCTCTTGAGTATCTTATTTTTTATTTGTTTGGTTTTTATAATACTTTTTCCCAAAGATATACATGTTTGTTTACCAAACCAGATTTTAAGTTATTTCCTGGCAGGGACTATCCCTTATACTTATTTTCATTACAACTATTCCATATAGCTGGATAGGGAATAATTGGACTTAATCTCACTAATTGGTGACATGTCTAGACATGTGATGACTAACTGAGTCTTTTTGGCATATCCTTTTTTCAAAGTAACTTTGATTTTAATAATATTAAGGTTGAATTTTTACTTTTGGAAGTAAAAATTCTGTAATATTTAAAATAGCTATTTTTCGTCACAAAACCCGATATGACAAATACATACAATAAAACAGTTTATTGGAGGAACATTTCTTGAAAATGGTAACATATCATGATACAAGAATTCTGTGGTTAAATAACGTTGAGGGAATGTTGCATTCTGTATATCCTTCTTGGAGATGGATCATACACTTGAAAAATTCTGCTTATAAAGAAACTAGTTCACATTTGTTTTATCCAACTTTTTCACCAGTTATTTGAACATAGAACACATTTTGATTTTCATTTCACTTATTAACAAGTGGTAGTTTGGGAAAAGCTACTCCAGGGAATTTTAGCAGTCAACAGTTTTTCATCTTTGTACTTATTTGTAGGAGGTGTTTAACCATCAGTTTAAAATTTTTTGAGTGTCCTCTTTGTGCCAAGAGTTGTCTGAACTTTTAGGATACAAAGATGAGTAAGTTAAAACCTCTGGCTTTAAGAAGCTTACAATCTAAAGTGAAATAAATGTGTAAAAAATAAGTGCAATATAATTTTATAAGCATTTTTCTTTTTAGCTACCATTTATTCGGTGTTTACAAAGTATTAAGCACTATGCTAAATGTTTCACATGTACTGTTTCACTTAATCTTTACAAAAGCTCTGAGGGTTATATTGTACTCTTTGTATCTTTTCTAAGCTCTAGTTGTCTGAGGCTGAGGAAAGATAAGTAACTTGCCTAGCCTCATAATTCTAGTGAATACCTAACCTGTTTAATGTGTATCCTTAACCACTATACAATATTTTTGTGTTGGAATTATATACAGAATACAGTGTGGGTACAAAGGAAGAGTGGTTGGTTCTTCCAGGAGGGTAGAATATCATAGAAAATATGGTGTGATTTGTGTTTTAAAAGGCAGAGTAAAGGGAGGGATGTTCAGTGAGCAACACCTACAAAGGCATAGAATGTAAAGCTGCATTCTGTGTGTATTTGGGTATAGGTCACTGATTGGGAGCAGTTGGCCAGAAATGAAGTTAGAGGGCCAAGTGGAGGCCAGATCATAGCAAACCTCTTATGCCAGGCTAAATAGTAGGCAATGGATAGGATTTTAAGAAGAGTGATATGATCAGGTTTGCATTTTAGAAAAAGGTCTTGAGCTACAGTGTCAAAGTTGGATTGGAGAGAGAGACTGGAGGCAGTCCTACCATAGGGAGATTACTGTGTTTGGACAGGTCATAGACCAAACTAAGGTAGTAATAGGAGAAAGACTTTTCTGTCTCAGAGACTAATATAGTTTACATTGAGTTAAATGTAAACTCAATTTACATTTACTTTATTAAATCAATTTTTCTCAGTTGCCTTAAGAGAAAAGCAACAACCACATCATCTGTGCTAAAATTTGTAGGTTTCTTTATTTTCTTTTGGACTGGGGATTAGGTTCAAGAATGTTTCATTATCTGCCAGTTCACAGGTTACATGTGAGGTTCCCTGTTTTATAAACCTTTATGGAAGTTAACAGATAACTTTAACAGTTTCTAGAGTTGCAGACAAAGCTCTTAATTTGAATATAACTAAAATTGTCAGTCAGTAATATAAGGGAAAATAATGTCTTATGCCTGTGGTTTGATTTTTGTATTGTGATATAATTTTCTGTACTAATGGGAATAAAACATTGAATTTTTTAAAAAGTCAAAACTCTGTTTGCATATATTGGTTTAGAATAGAAGGAATTTTAAACTATGTGATTGGTAAATGGTAAGTTCTAGCTAATCCTTATCTGTCAGATGACAAGCAGCAGTGACCTGCATTTGATGAGTGAGTGCATTAGAATCTAGTCCCTGATTCTTTTAAAAGACAATCAGAGAATAGTAATACTAAACTTAATATTGTAAGCATCTTATCCTTGACTATACTATATACCTTTTAAAATTATGGTGAAATGTTCCATATATAATTAAAGTTATGTTTTGTCTTCATTGTTCTTAGCTGTTTGCCATATTTTTCTTTTACTTTTAGGCCTGCAAAAATTCAATCTGTCTTGATTTATCTACTAATTGTTTGCATGGAAGGTTAACAGGAAACAAAGTAGTAAACTGGGACATTAAGGTAAGTTAATGATGAACGATGGGCAACATATTATTTATTTACGTGTACTGATCCTTTAAAAACTTTTGTCTTTTGAGCACCACCAGATTGATCTGAATAAGTCCTGTTTAAAATGTTTGCAGATACACAGTTTGAAGGATAAATAAATAAGTAGTTGAATGACTATTTGATTTGTTTGTAACGTAATTACCTTTTTAAACTATGCCATGAGCTTAGCAGTTTTCATAAGAAAAATATGCTGCCCTCATTCATAGCTCCACTTTTAAGGTATTTATCCCTAAAACTATGTAACAGATTTCAACCCCTCAGAGACTTCTTTGATTATCCCTTTTCTCCTATATCACATACTTCTTCCTGTCTAGTCTCCTGTCCATCAGCTTTAAACAAACTTAGATCTTTCCTCTCTGAGGTTAAAGATGAGTAATTTTTCCTCTTCTTCATAACCCCGTCTAGCCATTATATCTTGTCTGCCTTTTTCATGTGCCTCATATTTATGTCTTAGCTGGATGTAATGTCTTTGCTTCTATTTAAAGGCCTCTACTTATTTCCCAAGATGGAGTTAACTATTCTTGTCATGAGTACCTATAGCAGTTTCTATTATTTCACTTATCATAGTGAATAGTTAACTGTTTGCTTGCTTGATTCTCCAGTAGTCCTTAAGAACTTCAAAGGAGGGAACACTGCTTTTTCCCCCAGTGCCTGGCACAGGGATACATAATAACATTGTTGACTGAGTGATTAAACTGGTAAAGATTATTTGGGCTAATGTGAAAGTCAGAGATATCCTATTTCTAAAATACAGGATTTCCTTAAAAGATATATTAAATAGAAATTATAGCCTAAGTAAAATAAAAATAAATATAAAAAATAGTTATACTGGAACTTGCTGATAAATCAGCAAAACAACAACAACAAAACTTTTGTCTTCTAGTCATTTAATACCAATCAAATATGCTTATTGTTTCAATGAACAGAAATCATTAGGATAATTCTTCTATGTAAAAATGAATCCATAAGTTTGTATTAATCTCATGTTATTCATGTGGTATAAAGCTTTTTTCTCTTTGACTTTGAGATAAGAACACCTATTCTTACCTGTTAACATAGTAAGATTTATGACTTGTTTGCCAATTTTTAAGCTTTTTTAATTTGAATTTTATTATATTTATTTTTATATAGCATGTTCTTATTAGTTATCTATTTTATACATATTAGTGTATATATGTCAATCCCAATCTCCCAATTCATCCCCCCCACCCCCACATACCCCCCCACCCGCTTTCTCCCCCTTGGTTTCCATATGTTTGTTCTCTACGTCTGTGTCTCTATTTCTGCCTTGCAAACCAGTTCATCTGTACCATTTTTCTAGATTCCACATATATTCATTAATATACGATATTTGTTTTTCTTTTTCTGACTTACTTCACTCTGTATGACAGTCTCTAGATCCATCCACATCTCTAAAAAAGACCCAATTTCGTTCCCTGTTATGGCTGAGTAATATTCCATAGTGTATATGTACCACATCTTCTTTATCCATTCGTCTGTCGATGGGGAATGGGCATTTAGGTTGCTTCCATGACCTGCCTATTGTAAATAGTGCTGCAATGAACATTGGGGTTCATGTGCCTCTTTGAATTATGGTTTTCTCTGGGTATATGCCTAGTAGTGGGATTGCTGGGTCATATGGTAATTCTATTTTTAGTTTTTTAAGGACCCTCCATAGTGTTCTCCATAGTGGCTCTATCAGTTTACATTCCCACCAACAGTGCAAGAGGGTTCCTTTTTCTCCACACCCTCTCCGGCATTTGTTGCTTGTAGGTTTTCTGATGATGCCCATTCTAACTGGTGTGAGATAATACCTCATTGCAGTTTTGATTTGTGTTTCTCTAATAATTAGAGATGTTGAGTAGCTTTTCATGTGCCTCTTGGCCATCTGTATGTCTTCTTTGGAGAAATGTCATTTAGGTCTTCTGCCCATTTTTTGATTGGGTTGTTTGTTTTTTTAATATTGAGCTGCATGATCTGTTTATGTATTTTGGAGATTAATTCTTAGTTGAGATAAGGACACTTTTTCTTACCTGTTAACATAGTAAGATTTATGACGTGTTTGCCGATTCGTAAGTTAACTTTTGATGTCATGTATAAGATTGGTTTTATAAGGATAGTTCTATGGATTACTTATATAGAGAAAGCTGATTATTTGTGTTATACATTATACTTGAAAATCAAAGCAGTCTTTGTTGCCTTGAGTATAGATATGTAGAAATCAAAAAGGAACAGAATTATCGAGAAAAAGACTATTGCTTTTTTATACTGCAGCAAAATCAAAGCCAAAAAAAGTTAAATGAAGTGACAATGGGAAAAAAACACTTCCCATCCAAAATTCTAGTTTACTTACTGTAAAAAGCCCTTAAAAATCAATATGAAAAACAGGCAAAGACTATGAAGAGGTGGTTTACGGACTTAAGGTATGTAAACACGGCAGTTCAGAACATTTTAGCAGTTAATAATAGCTAATCTTATATAGCACCCATTGTATGTCAGGCACTAAGCACTTTTCATGTATTAGCTTATCTCATCCTTGTAACAACTTTACAAAGTGGGAATTAATATTATCCTCATCTTACAGATGAAGAAACTGAGGCTAGGGAAATTAGTAACTTGTCTAAGATACTGAATATATTTTGTTAAGCTATCCAGAATTGTCAGTCACTTTAAAGTTCAGTTGAAGCCACTCACTCCACCTTTTTTGTAAACAAAGTAGAGGAGTCAGTCATATTTGTACTGCAAATACATTCTTTTTTTTCATGACTTGTTCTCCTGTTTGTTGTGACTAATTGCCTTGTGACAGTTGTTACCTCTTATATCACTAGTGTTACGTTGTGAAGTCTACTTATGGGGTCATGTTTAGATTGCCTATGTTGGGAATTCGTAAACTTGGGAAAACAAAGGTGTATTAAAATGATCTGGCCTTGTCTCTTGAGTATTGATTTTGGTGACCCTTGAGGCTGCTCTTTAAAGCATATGCCCGTACAAGGGTTCCTTTAGCTTAGGCCATCATATACTTAAAGGTTTAGCAAATTGTAACCTCATACATGCTGTGTAGATATTAAATGAGAAAATTGCCTGTGTTTTATAAGATTAAAAAATTGTAGTTTCCTCTTTCAGGACAGCATAAACTGCATAGGTGGAGTAAATGTACTCTTTCCTCTAATGGAACAAATCAGCCACTTTGGTGAAGGACAGATTCCTGAGGGATTGAATGAAAGCACAGTTCCTGAATTGATAACACCTGTAGAAGGAGATTGGGTGGTATTGAACTCCACAAAGGCATCAGGTATTAAGCTGAAATTAACATGAACTAGTCATTGAAAAACTTGAGAATTAATTGAAAGATAGATTGAAATGTCTTGCTACCATGATGAAGAAACTTAACCATTTGTAGCTGAAGTAGTCCATCCCTAATTTTACTAATGGAGTTCAGAAAGTGCATAATACTTCAGTGAAAACACTTAAGATGTTGATTATATTCTTGACTATCCTTAGTTTGTACTGTTAGCAGAAATCGGACAACATTGTTAAATTTATGGTAGAGAAAATATTTACATGTTCATATAAGTATATAATATGCAGTCACTGATTTCTCTGATATTTATGTTCTGCAAGTGACCTTTGGATGCAAATTCCTGAACCAAATTCCTTGTTTGTTACAATATGCATATGATATAGAACATGTGATACAAAAGTGATTAGCGTAATTATGATAATTAATGACATGTTCACAATTCCACAGAGTCAAGACTAGAGAGAAATTTAATTGCAACATTTATCTTGATTGTGAAACACTTTATTCAAAGACATCCTATTAACCAGGACAATCTTATTCACTCCCATGGAGTTGCCATTCTTGGTGCCTTACTTCAGAAGGTGAGCTAGTTTAACGTTATGTAGATGTGACTGATGATTGTAATTACCAGTTAGTGTTGAGGTTTTTTTCTTTCCAATAAATAAATATATATATATATTTTTTATTAAATATATTTTAAAAATTATACTGTTATAGCTTAAGTTATATTAGTGGATATAATTTATTTCACAAGCCGCTTTTTAAAACTTGAATCACCTTATACAAGAACTACTTATCTTACATAACAGTGTATAATCTTTGATATAAGGACCTTGTGTGTTAACTTTGGTATTTGGGATATTTCATCACTTAAAGACACTATTTTAGGAATATGTTCTCGAGTTACATCAGAAAAAATAATGTTTAAATTGTTTATATTTTTCTAACCAAGATTTTTATATTTAGTAGATGTTCTGAATTAATCATTTCAAATTATAGCTTAATGACAGTTATTTAAACTGAACTTTACAGAACCCTCTTCTATTTGGATTTCAGGTGCCAAGCACCTTGATGGATGTTAATGTATTGATGGCAATTCAGTTACTCATTGAGCAGGTATCATTAGAGAAAAATATGCAGCTCCTGCAACAAATGTATCAGTATTTACTCTTTGACTTCCGTATTTGGAACCGTGGCGATTTTCCCTTTCGAATTGGTGAGAGCAGGCTGTTGGATAAATTTTATAGTTGTTTTAGAAATGTATTACTACTTATGTGACTTTATTTTAGGTATATAACTGAAGAGTGAACTTTCTATTTTAGGTCACATACAATATCTTTCCACCATCGTCAAGGACAGCAGGAGAGTTTTCCGAAAGAAGTATGGTGTACAGTTTCTCCTAGATACACTTAGGATTTATTATGGGTATGATATCCTTACTCCTTCTCAGTTTGATATTGTTTCTGTTACTTGATTGGAACATTTAGATTGTTCATTTTCCAGCAGTCTAATACCTTTAACTTCAGAGAGCCAGGATGTTGTGGAGGTTAAAATGATGAACAGTGGATCACATACACTGGGTCTGAATATTATGTTTCATTAATTGTCTAGCCATAGGCAACTTACTCAACTTTTCTGTGCTAAAGTTTTCTGCTTTGTGACAAGGAGATAATAAAACTGTATGACTTCCTATGGTTGTTTTGAGGATTAAATTAAATTAATTAATAATGTGTAAAGCACATAGAACTGTGTCTGCTACATAGTATTGCATAAATGTAAGCTGTTTTAACAATTTTTGTCTTAGTATTACATAAATATAAGCTGTTTTAACTATTTATGTCTTTGTCATTGCAACTCCTAACTTAAAAACGTTTTCCTTAAAAAGAAAAAGAAGCTAAAGATGCTATGAATTCTAATAATTACACGGAAACAACTTCTTTTAAACTATGAAATCTTTTATATATAAAAGTACAAAAATATAAAAATTAAAAATTTCAATTCTTGCCCATTTACTTTCTCTTTCAGGAGTGATTGTAAATATAGTGAGCTGTCTCTAGATGATATTCGAACAATAAGAACTTCTTTGTATGGACTAATTAAATATTTTCTGTGCAAAGGCGGAACTCATGAAGAGATACAAAGTATTATGGGTTATATATCTGCTATCAATGAAGAAGAACAGGTATTATGCTCTGGATAAATCTGTTACTACTTTTTAATAATTAAGTTGCTATATCATCTTCTTTTAAACTTACATGTAATATAACATTTTAAGAGTAAAATGTTTATAGTGTCACATATAATATTATTAAGCAGTTAAAGAGGTAAATTTTATCTCCTAACTGAAAGTTTAATAAAATAAATGGCAGTGTAATAAAACATTTATTTTCTAGCTAATAGTAAAATATTAGCTAGAAAACAGTATGTGGAAATACTTGTTCTGGCAATTCTGAAATCTGTTTTCCAAGGCCACATGATGTATATTTAACTATTATCAAAGTTACTAGGCAGATTTCTAACATGAATTTTAATATATCATAGGTTCATAAAAATTTTGCATAAAGAGTAAATTATAACTGTATTTCTATTTTTAAATACTTCTATGTACACTATTCATTTTTACCTCAGAACTACCCTTTAGGACAGTGGTTCTCAATGTATGGACCCACTTACCTGGGAATTTTTTAGAAATGCAAATATATGGCCAAATCAAGCCCTCCACGTGATTCTGATGCATGGTAGAATTTGACCACTGATACAAAATATACAGACCAGGAATTACTCTTCCCATGTGCACATTTGGAAATATATGTTCAGAGAGATTAGGTGACTTAAAAAGTTACACAGCTGATATAACTGAAAAAATAACCCAGGTGTATTTACTGCTCTTTCTGTGCTCTTTCAGTATACCACTCTCAACACCAAATCTGAGCATCCTTAATTTATGTTGACTCAAATATTTTGCCCTCTATCATGATATATGCATTGTGTACTCAGTGGTTATATGACTTCATAATTGGTATTATATAGAAGAGTTAACTTAGGCTATTTCCTTATAAGGTTGAACTACTTCAAAAGCTTCTCATATTTAGAATAATGAATAATCATCTTATTTCATGATAGCTGTATTGTCACCTGCTATGATTCATTGCCAATGATCAATTTCTTGATCAATTTAGTCAAACAATTATTTATTGAATACTTTTATTATACATATACATAGAGTAGTACTAGATATTGTAGGTATTTAATGATGAAAGAATTATCATTCTTATTTTTAGCCTAATGGAGGCAGGGATAGATAAGAAATGTTTATAAATAATTATGAAACAAAAAAGAGTACGATAATATCTATAAGAGAAATATGAAGTCCCACGAGGTTTTCACTGGAGAGTGTTACATGTTGAGGAGACTAGGAACGGCTTCATGGAAGAGATGGCTTTTCATATGGACCAAGCAGGATAGGAATGGTTCAGCGGGTGAATGTGAGTAGTGAGAGGATATACAAAAGGAAATGGAATAAGCCAAAAGCCTAATGGAGGAAAGGCAAGGAGGGTTCAGAAGACATCAAATAATACAGTTAAGCTAGAACATGAGGGTATAGAGGACTTAAATAACTATTTGTGGTTTATGACTTTATTTATGCTTCCATATATGAGTGTGGTTGTTTGTGTTGCTTAATTTTAAAAGCTTTTTGGAATTTTGGACATACTCTTCAGTCTCCTACGTACCAGCCCAACTAGAGGTCAACTTTTCTTACTGCTGTTTGAACCAGGAAATGCTGACATACTTTATGCCTTGCTCTTGAATCAGAAATACTCTGACAGACTAAGAGAAATCATTTTTAAGGTACAAACATGTCTTAAGAGTCTTTATATTTGGGGACATTTGTGGGTGTATGCATTTACATGGAACATATCCATTCTATGAATGTAAATTCTTTTTTTCATGTCTACTTCCATCTAATTTTAAATTGTTCAGTTTGTTTTGATATATATTTATCATGTTTTTGTTGTTTATGTATTTTAAAACTAATTATATTGTAATCTTATCAATAATTTCAGTGGAAAATCTACTCTGCCATAGTAACGTAGATCCTCTTATCCCCCTTTTGACTTACAGTGGGTCTATTTAGCATCCACTGTTTATCAGGCACTAAACCCTTTTTATATATTAGTTTACATAGCTCTTGCAGCAACTTTATGAAGTGGATATTATTATTATCCTCATTTTACAGATGAAGAAACTGAGGCAGAGAAATTAATAACTTGCTAAAGGATGTAGGACATATTTTATTAAGCTATCCAAAATACCCCAAACTTTGAACTTTGGCTGAATCAGCCCACTCCACCTTTTCAGTTAACTAAAATTAAAGAAGGCAGTCATATTTCCACTGCAAATACATTTTTTTTGCATGATTTATTCTCCTGTTTGTTATGCCAAATTGCCTGTGACATTTGTTTCCCCTTACATCATTAGTATGACATTATAAAGTCTACTTGTGGGGTCATGTTTGGATTGCCTATGTTTGGAATTCTTAAACTTTGGGAACAAAAGTGAATTAAAAGTGGTCCTACATAGTCTCTCTTGAATATTGGTTATGGTTGACCCCTGAGGCTACTCTTTAAAGCATCTGCCCACACAGGGTTCCTATATGGAGATTTAATGTTATTTCTTCAAAAATGGCCTTGCAGGGGTTGTTCATGATATTATTTTGCCAAGATTACCCTTTCCATATAGGGTATCTATCTCACTTTGTAAAAGATTGATCTAACTCCAAGAAGTATGGGGTTACTAATTCATTCTTCCATTTTAGCATATGGATGGGTTGCTTCACAAAGTATTTCCTCGTTGTTGAAAATTATTTTGACAACTGTCACATAAATAGTTTACTAGATTGATCTAGAAGTATCTTTGTTTTCTTTCAGAGCACATTTTTGTTCCTCTTGCAAGCTACAGGATTTGTTTCCATCTACACCGTAGCCATTAAAAGAAAATTTTAAAGTATTCCTTTCATCTACCAAGAAATTTATATAAACTAGGGTTTTAAACATATTAATTATTCAAATGCAGTTGGGTTTCAGTCCAGTTCATTTTTAAATTTATTTTTTAATGATAGCAAGATCATAATGGAGTGTTCTTCCCTATTTAGTGCTATTTTTTTAATACTTGAGGAATAAAATGTTACTCCAGAAACATTGTACACTAATATTTATTTGATAATAACCTAAGTGACAATTGTTCTTAGTTCTCTATATTGAGAATATATTACTGTTGTGACCAGGTTATGGAACAGATGTTGAAATGCACGAACGTTTATGAACGAAGTAAACAACGTATTCGACTTAGAGAAGTTGGCTACTCAGGATTAGGGCTCCTTCTTAACGAAGCACCTGTTAATACTTCTCTCATTAAAAGTCTCACCAATCAAATTATAAATACAGGTATGACTAAGGCTAAAATATTGATACATTTAAGAAATGTTCTTCATAGTCATGTAATTCTATTTGATGGCCCTGAATTTTTTTTCTTCTGAAATTCTTTCTTCTTTTCCCCTCTTTCCTCAGGTTGCTTTTAAAATTACCTATTACTTGATTCAGCAGGGCTTTTCTTGGGTACTGTTTCAAATGTACCTTTGTTGTTTTTGTCTCCCCGGAGCATAGCATAGTACCTTACTTGGTAGGCCTTCAGTAAATGTTTATTGACTGAGTGATTAGTAAATAATTCAGTCTATGTAAAAAGAAAAGGACACTAGAGAAAATATGTACAAGATATTCTTTTTCCTTTCAGAGCTAAATTCTTAAAGGGAAAATGAAAACTAATTTCAGATATTCCTTTTTGTTTCTAATTTTGCTTTTATGAACCTTTTTGTAAGTACTTCCTACAAACTATAAAATTTTTGTCAGATGCTAGGGATTCAGAAATGTATAAGATAAGGTTCTTTGTCTCGAGTGGTTTATCATTTCATTGAGAAGACATGCACATAAAAAAATAAATACAAGTATAAGATCCAAGCAGTATCAACAGTATGTTCAGTCAGTCAAAATATAAGAACAGCTTTTTAGGGTTTAGTCAGGAAGATGTTAAACATTCTAAACCTATTGTTTTTGTAAAATTTGAACTTATCTACAATTCCTATTTAAAATGAAACAGTTATTTCTATGTTTATATGACTATTACATACAGTTCTTTCTTTGAGAAAGAAGAAAGCTGGAGGCATCACACTTTCGGATTTCAAACTATACTACAAAGTTATAGTAATCAAAACAGTATGCTGCAGTATGCATAAAAATAGACACATAAACAAGTGGAACAGAATCAAGAGCCTAGAAATAAAACTATATGTGTACAGTCAACCAGTATTTGACAAAGAATCCAAGAATACTTAATGGGGAAAGATAGTCTCTTCAGTAAATGTGATTGGTAAAACTGGATATGCACTTGCAAAAGAATGAGAATGGACTCCTGTCTTACACCACCCACAAAAATTAACTCAAATGGATTAAAGACTTAAATGTAAGAACTGAGCTATAAAAATACTAGAAGAAAACATACAGGAAAAACTCTTTGACCTTGGTCTTGGCAATGATTTTTTGCATGTGACACCAAAAGCACAAGCAACAAAAGTTAAAATGAACAGTGGGACTAAATCAAACTAAAAAGCTTCTGTGGACTTACCTGGTGGCACAGTGGTTAAGAATCCGCCTGCCAGTGCAGGGGACACGGGTTCAAACCCTGGTCCGGGAAGATCCCACATGTTGTGGAGCAACTAAGCCCGTGTGCCACAGCTACTGAGCCTGCACTGTAGAGTCCATGAGCCATAACTACTGAGCCCACGTGCCACAACTACTGAAGCTCACACGCCTAGAGCCCATGCTCCACAACAAGAGAAGCTACCACAATGAGAAGCCCACTTGCCGCAACTGGAGATAGCCTGCACACAACAATGAAGACCCAACGCAGCCAAAAATAAATAAATTTATTTATTTTTTTAAAAGCTTCTGCATAGCCAAAGAAACCATCAACAATATGAAAGGGTAGCCTATGAAATGGGAGAAAATGTTTACAAGTCAAATCTGATAAGGGGTTAATATCCAAAATATATTAGGGATTCATATAACTCAATAGCAAAGAATCCAATTAAAATATGAGCAAAGGACCTGAATAGACATTTTTTCAAAGAAGATATGCAAATGGTCAACAGATACATGAAAAGGTGCTTATCATCCTTAATTATCAGGGAAATGAAAATCAAAACCACAATGAGATATCACCTCCCTCCTGTTAGTTCGGCTGTTATCAAAGAGACAAGAGATAATAAGTGCTAGTGGTGAGGGTGTGGAGAAAAGGGAACCCTTGTGTGCTGTTGGTGGGAATGTAAGTGGTGCAGCCACTATGGAGAACAGTGTGGAGGTTCTTAAAAAATTAAAAATAGAACTACCATATGATTCAGCAATCCCTCTTCCAGGTATATATCTAAAGGAAATGAAATCATATCTCAAAGAGGTATGATCTGCAACCCCATGTTTATTGTACCATCATTCACAATAGTCAAGGCATGGAAACAGCCTAAGTGTCCATCAATAGATGAATGAATAATAAAGATGTGGTATATATATATATATATATATATATATATATATATATAT